ATGTTATCTCTCCATCAAGTTAAAGCCAGAAGAAATCCTTCCTGTTCTCTTGTAAAACATTGGGTGCAGAAAGAAGTTGTTGGAAAATACATACAAGCATACAATAAAGCTTGAATAATTCTGTGAGACTTCACTCTCTCTTACATTTTACTTTGTATATTTCAAGTCCTTTGCACATTTTCTCTTAACCCTAGACTAGTTCCATATCATTAACCAAGAGATATCAAGTTAAGAGATTATCTTCAGTCTGTTATCATACCTAATGAGCTCAATCTCTAAGATTGTAGTGATTGCTTCATTCTACCATTTTTCTTATGGTGGGTGTTGTTGGAATTCTTGTTCTTAGGAAGAACCATTCTGGTAGAGGAGGCACTATGTCGATTATAGCAATGTCAGAACATTTTAGACTCGTTTTAAGGTTAGCACACTGCACACTATCCCTTTTCAATTTTAAACGAAAATGTAATATATGAAGTAATACAATATAAGTATATCAAATACGAATGGTTGTCCTAATTTTTAAATACAATGAAGTAATAACTTTCATATTGATCTCTGAAAAACCTTTGGTACAAGTGTACAAATGCTTTGTTGTCTGACACTATAGATGTGATTCATCTATATAAAACTAACATACATACATCATGTGTTTCTATAAATGGTGCTCGTTCGACATAACTCATCTTTGCAGGGAAGGTGCTCAACTAAAATCATCCTAATTTTCTCTTCTGGTCATGTCTGCGGGAAGAGATGCCTTTGCCTATCGCTTCATTCTCTGTTGCTCGGGAATAGACATGGCATCGTCTCTCTCCAGCATTGTCTGTATAACATTGGCAAAACCGTTATCCAACCATTATAAAAAAAGGTATGTATCCCGTTTTGAACGAAATAGAGGACTCACACCAAGTGTCCTTTCGGATTCAGTCAATATGCACATAATTGCGTGATCGGTCATCATGTTGCAAGAGACAACAATGCTTTCAAATCTTCCATCCACTTGTATACATGTCTTGACAATAGGTGGTATGTCTGTGGAACTGCATGCAGAAACCTAAGTTCTTCACACAAGTTTTGCTTCACACTGTTTACTAAAACAATTAAACAAAGGTCCCCAAAAATGTGTATATCATAAAAGGATTCTAAACAGAACATGGGCTCTACTCTCTTCCTCTTTATTAATACTTCTTCTGTCTAAAAAAAACTTTTTATTTCCTTTTCAGGACATCCAAGAAAAACCTCTCTTTCCATTTTTGGCAAATTTTGTGTGGCCCAGCATCACTCTCTCATTTGTATCACCTTCAACCACAATTTTACTTTTTTAAACGTTGTGTCAAACCCAATTTGGAATTTTTTTGGGACCAAGGGAGTAGCATTTAACCTTAAATAAAATAGATTTAATACAAATATATATACTTCCTCTGTCTCAACTTAAATTGTCTGTTGTATATGGAACTTGATTGAAGTTATTTTTAAATATTTTTTTTTGAAAATTGGCGTAGAAATAAAAATTATAATTTATATTTTTAAAAATTACATCAAAAGTTCTACATAATAGGAGGCGACAAGATTATGTTATTTTACCAAATGAGTAACCAAAATGGATAAAAAATGTTGTTAAAGTTTGACAATGTGAATAGTAAATGTGCAACTTAAATTGGAACAGAGGAAGTGGAAAATAAAGATCATAAGAAAATAATTCTATGTATGGTAGAGCTTCGACCTTGTTAATTTTAATTAAAATCTCTGTTTGGTAAAATAATACGGAGTATGATCTTAGAATTAGAGATTATTTGAAAGGTAAATTCTATGGTGGACTTAGGTTCACCATGGACCTATATATGAGTAAAAAAAGTATTTTTTACAATTTAAATAAGCATTTGTTTTTCTAATAAAAAAGATATTTTTATATGAGAAGATCCACAAAATTATATGCATCCAAGGTGCACCAAAAAAACACTCAATTTTAAATAGTTCTTCATACAAAAGTTAGGAATATTTTTCTTTGTTAAAACCACTACACTATTCAAATAAGAATAACATCATTTTTCCAAGTTATATTTTGCTCTTTTTTTTGAAGCTGCTTATTTCTACTATTCATCTCTATTTTCAGTGGTTTGCTTTACTAATGAACTCCAAAACAAGCGAAAATTGTCCCAAATACTTCGGATGCAAATTATATGGCCGGTACAGTCAAATGTACCGTATGTCATGAAAAACTTGTAATTAAAAAATATTCTAGAATGAACTCTATGTTATTTCAAAATGAATATACTATGTTGAGCAGATTTGAAATGAAAACTACGTTGTTTCAGAATGAACAATATATTGATTCAAAATAAACACTTGTTGGATGTACCTAACTCTAAGTACATGCGGATGTGCAATATAGGCTCTCACTTGGGATATGTAATGATGTATTTTTCAAAGTAAATTTTATAATTGGTCTTTTATATATGAGATTTTTTTATTTAGTTTTCTATTATCAAATATCACTCTTGTGGTCCTTTTATATGTATCTATCTACAAATAGTCTTTTTTGACCTTTTGTCATATTGATGTTAATTTGATGGCTAAAAGTGTAATTTGACATCAACACTATATCCAGTGGCATATTCTGATGTTGGTTAGACGGACTACACAATTATATTAACTATGATTGTGGATTTTAACGAAAGACTACATTTATAGACTTCGATTATAGTGGAAAGTGACTGTGATTCACAAGTGACGCATCGGGAGTAGCTTCTGAAATTGTGTAGGACAAGCAACATATATGATCACTGTGAAATTACACGTTTAGCCATCAAATTAATACCAACATGATAAAAGTTGAAAAAAAGAATATATGTGAAAAGAACATAAAAGGACCCGATGGGTAATATTTGTTAATAAAAGACTAAATAGGGAAAATACTCTGTTATAAAAGATCAATTTTGAAATTTCCACTATTTTTAGACTCTTATAAACACTATCATTCAATACTTGCATAGACGGACGATATATGCACCAACCTGAAGCGTTCCCGGGCAATTATGTGATAAAGACGACCGGGAATGTAGAGGCTTCTTGGATCTTTAAGCTTCTTCTTCTCCTCCACCATGAATGTGTCTTTCAAGCACATTATGCAGAGCACACATGGTAAACTATTCATCCCAACGTATTGGTATCAATTAGTCATTGAGAATAAAGCCTAATGCTTTAGAGGCAAGGGAATATAATGTTTTGTTTTTACCAGAAAAGTGTCTTGAAGGCATTTTCCTGTCCCAGTCTTGTCCGAGGCAAGAAATCGTCCTAATCAAATATCATACATCAATGTATTCATAATCATGCATATAATAAGTAGTACAAATTAAAGCTTCATACAATAAGAATGTTTGTTTTACCTGCAATACAACAGAACTGATGACATCTGCATATCTCATTGCGAGATCTAGTGACACACACCTTGTCGGGGCAACGGAGAAACACTTGATCATTCTTCGTTCTATGTTCCCGAATCGCTCACCGTTCTTCGCAGCCAACATTGCCAACATGGTCGCCACACCCGCCCCTAGAGAATGCCCGGCCAATGTCAAGGTGTAGTTTGGATGTCCCGCAATTAGTTCTCCCAAAAGCTTCGAATCTTTATCTACGACCCATTGAGCCGACTTCAAGAGGCCGTTGTGAACAAACCCCCCGTCAAACGTAGCCTGCCCGAGCTTGTCATCTAGCAAGACAAGATAGTCACTCTCCTTGGCCAAATCGAGACCCCTAAAAGCTAGAACTATTTCCTCGTTCTCGTGATCGAGATATATCATATACGGTGCTACTTTTCCACGAGTGTCGTCGTAGTTTCTTTTGGCAACTACCCATTCGTGATCAACACCGTACCCTCCAGGAGGTGCCCAGAGCGGGTTCCTAAGGTCATCCTCATACACAGATAGAATATACCGACAAATACGAGGCACGGGCTCAAACTCACCGGGGGTCGCAAGGCGCCAGTTTTCGCTTTCGCGGCCAGCAGTGTAGTAGAACTTCTTCCGTGCCCAATGGGCGCACCCTAAGCAATACACACATTGAACAGTTGGTAGGCAGCAGGCAAATGACATTTGTGTCTATCAAGCAGCTTCCAACATCTCCATACACTTTGTCACGGAAGTTGCCCCTGACTATTTCAAAAAACAGCGAAGTTAAAAATGACGTCATTGAAAACGTCTTTAATTACGCATTTGGTGAGAAATATGTCGTACCTTATCGTTACTATTCAAACGGTTCGGTACGGTTTCAGTTTTACGCCTAAACCCATTCGGTACCATGTCGTTCGGTAACAGGATGGTACCATGCCATAGTAATGTCAAACCATTCCATAATACTTCGATGCTTTAAAAATATTTTTATTTATAACAAACAACCAAAAAAATTTTAAAAAAATTTTGTGCACAAATATTTTTATACATTCTTAGTTTCTTACCCAACAAGTGTATAGTTTAGTTACAATTTTTGAAAAAGCTTAGTCATGGTTTACTTTTTCAACAAATAAAATTATAGTTCGAGTTGTACTTCAGGGTAATAAAGTATTATAAAAAATATAAATTTAAGTATGTGAACGTCACACCAAATAAGTATCACCTAAACTTACTAAAAATTAACAAAAGAAAATCGATAATTATTTTATTAATTTAATATTTTAGTGATAATGGTTCGGTTTGGTATTTTCGGTATTTATTTTTTTGGAAATCCGTCCCATACCACTTTGAAAATGTTACGGTGTGGTTCGAGATATATTTTACTAGAGCCATTTAAAACCCGCTTTTCGATTCGGTACAATGTCGGTTTGGTTTGAGATATATTTTACTAGAACCATTTAAAACCCGCTTTTCGATTCGGTACAATGTCGGTCCGGTTCGGAACAACAATGTTGGGCAGTATTTTCGCTCACCCCTACTTTATTATTGTTCCTCTCAAAATTAAGTTAAGAGTTTGATCTTTTGGGTAAGAAAAATGAACTTTCAACTTTTTTCAACTTCTAGTTTCTTCAAATTTCTTCTAATTTTTTCAACTTCTTCTAGTCTTTCCAACTTTTTCTAATTTCATCCAACAACGATTTAAAAAATTATATGATGAGTATATAAAATAACATCACATATCCAAGTCTATAGCACAACACATAAAACACGGATATAAGTGAATTTTTTAAATTCAAAAATAGTTTCCTCAGATATTTATTTGGATGATCAATTAATTAAGCAATTTCTTTAGCAATGTATTTTTTCCTTTTTCATTCATTCTAGTTTTTTCCAACTTTTTCATTTTTATTAGAATTTCAACCGAGGGGGGCTGGGGTGGGGGGGCAAGGGTGGGGCTGGAGTGGGGGGGGGTTTAGGGGGGTAGGAACCGTCGTTTTTACAAACGGAGCACCATAGGTACCCCAAACGAACTGGTGTAAGCAATTGGTGTATAAGTAATTGGTGTCATTTTAGACGTTCCCTTTAAATTAATTGGAAGTTTAGTAGGGAGTAATTTTTCATCCTATCCCTAATTATGGGTTATTCATATATGTCTAGAGTACGAAATGTAAAATCAATATTCTAGTATTGATAAAATTAATAAAATCAATATTCTAATATTAGTTTTTTTAGAGTACTATTTATACAATTAATATTCTAAAGTGAGCATCTAAAATGACACCAGTTACTTATACACTAGTTCGTTTGGGGTACCTACGGTGTCCCGTTTGTAAAAATGACGGTTCCTACCCCCCTAACCCTCCTCCTAAACCCCCCACCCCAGCTCCACCCTTGCCCCCAGCCCAACCCCCTCCCGGTCCCCTCCCTACCCAGGCAGTATAACCCCGGCAGTATACTGCCAGGGGCGGAAGGGGGGCTGGGGTGGGGGTGAACTGGGGTGAGGGTTTAGGGGAGGGTTAGAGGGGTAGGAATCATCATTTTTACAAACGGGGCACCATAGGTATCCCAAACGAACTGGTGTAACAGCTCTATTCTAAAATAGAGATTTGGACGTAATGGATCATTTAACATACAAACACATAGAGACAATTATCATATAATCCGTATTCTATATGTCTTCGCTAGCGTCACGGTACTCACCTCTATGTTACGGTCGAACGTCGCCGAAAATCCAATTGACGGCTAACGAACGGAGCGTCAAGGATTCGGTCAACTGCCCGTTATTGTCCTTGAGTTTCGCCTCTGTTACCGGACGTACACCGCCTCCACAATATCCGCCGGAACAGACGCCGGGAAACCGGCCGCCGGCAGTAAATGGCAGTGCAGCTGCTGTTGCCGATGGTGAAGAAGGTGTGTATATTATAGGGAGTACTTTCTATATAAAACATCACTCTGTTCGTTTCCGAAACGGAAAGAGAAACAAAGCAACGAACTGTACGTATCTCTATCCTAAAAAAACTTTTTGAAACCTAATTACTCTATAACTATGTTCATACAATTCCAATATATTAAAACTCGTAGAATTATTGTTAGCATTATGAATCGAATACGTGATTTCTCATTTGAGAAAATTAGAGCGGTATCATTGGACTACAAAGTCCCCGATCCCTATAATCTAAAGTTAGTATCAAAAATACTCCCTCCGTCCTATAATGATCTTCCCGGTTCGCAAAACGAAGAAAAATCCCAAGTTTTTTCAATCTATTTTATTTAAATATTGGTATAGAAATAAAAAATAAAATATACATATTTAAAAACTACACCAAAAGTTCAACAAAACAAGTGGTGACAAGAATATTTTATTTTATCATATAGGCCATGAAAAAACACAAATAAATATAAATTCCCGTGAAGTTGGAATAGTGCTCTGGGAAGATCATTATAGGACGGAGGGAGTAGTACTTTGTATCATTTACACATCAAAAGTCAGAGCTGACTCGAAAATGTGAAAAAATAAGATTGGTCTTTTAGAGATATCATGTGTTGGACCCTATTTTACATATAAAATTAGTTCTAAATTTAATTTACAATAAAATTAGTGCTAAATTTGATTTACCATATCCATATTTATAACACTAGGACTATTAAAATATAGATTTATACATTCAAAAAATTAAATTTAAAAATATCCAATAATTAAAATCATACAGAATAAATTCCATAAATGATCTCCAATTATAGGTTGTTTTCCATATTTAGTCCCCACATATCAAATATCAATAACTTATTCTCTAATTATTATATTGTTTTCCACGAATGGTCCTCTGTTAACATACCCGTTATAAACGTTGATAAAATTGTAAATTCACACCTCTCTCTCTCTTCAACTAAGCTTCTGTAGAAAGGTTAATTTCATTAAATGAATATGTGGGAGTACATGTCTATATATACACAAGGATTCCTAATCCTATACGAGGTAGGAGATAATAATAGGAAACAATATATTCCTAATCCTATACAAGGTAGAAGACAATAATAGGAAACAATATATTTACATTAAATATAGAATATATTTAACATGCTTCCGGCTACGTTGGATGAGGAGGGGGTCTGATACCCAGACTGGACTTAAACTCGAGGAAGAGTAGAGAAGGTCGTCCTTTGGTGAAGATGTCAGCATACTGTGAAGAAGAGGGCACGTGAAGGACTCGGATATGGCCGAGTGCGACTTTGTCTCGCACAAAGTATATGTCGACTTCAACGTGCTTGGTGCGCTGGTGCTGAACTGGGTTTGATGAGAGATAGACGGCGCTGATGTTGCCGCAGAAGACGAGGGTGGCGCGTCGTAGTGGTTGCTGGAGCTCAAGAAGAAGATTTCGGACCCAAGAAGTCTCAGCAACTGCATTTGCCACAGCCCGATATTCTGCCTCTGCACTGGAGCGGGAAGTGGTGGCCTGACGTTTTGAAGACCAGGAAATCAGGTTGTCGCCCAGAAAAATACAGTACCCGGAAGTGGAACGTCTGGTGTCAGGACAGCCAGCCCAATCAGCATCAGAATAAGCCTGGAGATAGTCTGTCGAGGAGCGAGTCAGGTAGATACCGTGAGTGGCGGTGCCACTAAGATAACGGAGAACTCTCTTCATGGCCGTGAGGTGAGAGTTGCGAGGCGCATGAAGGTGGAGACAGAGCTGCTGAACGGCATAAGTGATATCAGGTCTGGTGAATGTGAGATACTGTAGAGCACCAACGATGGACCTGTAAAGGGAAGGATCTCGAAGTGCCGTGCTGGAGGAGGAAGACAACTTAGCCTTTGTGTCGACTGGAGTGGATATGGGGCGGCAGGAGACCATCCCTGCCCTCTCAAGGATGTCGTGAGTGAACTGTGTCTGATGGAGGAAAAGGCCCTGAGCAGTGCGATGAACATTAATGCCAAGGAAAAAGTGCAGATCACCCATGTCTGTCATGGCAAACTCAGCCTTGAGTTTCTAAATGAGACTCTGAAGAAGCTCTGGCGAGGAGGCAGTGAGGACGATATCATCAACATATAATAGGAGGTAGGCGGTCCCCGAGGCATGCGTAAAGACGAAAAGAGAGGTGTCAGATTTGCAGCTGCGAAATCCAATAGTTTGAATGAAACCTGCAAATCTGTGATACCATGACCGGGGTGCCTGTTTCAGACCATAAAGAGCTTTCTTGAGCCGGCAGACATGATGAGGGCGATTTGCATCCTGAAATCCTGAGGGCTGGCTAGCATACACGGTTTCCTGAAGCTGTCCATGGAGGAAGGCATTTTTGACATCGAGCTGATGGATGGGCCACCCACGAGACAACGCGAGGCTAAGAACGATTCGGACCGTGGCAGGCTTGATGACGGGGCTGAAAGTTTCGCTATAGTCAATGCCAAAACGCTGATTGAATCCGCGGACCACCCATCGGGCCTTATACCTAGATAACTCACCGGATGGGCCAAATTTGTGTCGGAAGAGCCATTTACCGGTGATTATGTTTTGGTTGGGGGAGGGGGGTACTAGTTCCCATGTGTCATTCTTTAACAAAGCATTATATTCATCACACATAGCAGCTAGGGGTGTTCAATCAGATCGATCCGATCCGATCCGAAAATTCGGATATCCGAAAATTTTGGATCACGTAAAACTCATTCCATATCCGATCCGAAAATATTCGGATATCCGAAATTCGGATATCCGATTTTTCGGATCGGATCACTGGATTATCCGAAAAGTTGAGTTTTTAGCCAAAATTTACAAAAAAAAGGTAAAATAGCAAAATCAACCCAAAATATCAAATTCAATATAGATTTACTAAAAGAAAAATTCCACCACTAAGTAATGGCCTAATAAAAAATGATACCAAATTTAATTTGGGAGTAACTTTGGTAATTTTTCCTAAACAAACAAAAGAAACACTATTAAAACAAAAGATTCTAAAATGCTAATGTAAAAAGTCCAAAATGGTTGAGTTCCAAAATCAACATAAAATTACATTTAAATATATAGTCATAATATATATCCATAAAATTCCAAAAAAATATAGCAAAAAAAAAATCGGATATCCGATTATCCGAAAAATTCCAGAAATTGAATCCATATCCGATCCGATTTTTTTCGGGTATCCGATCCGAAATATCTGAAAGCTAAAATATCGGATCGGATATCCTTTTTTCGGATCGGATCGGCCCGGATCGTGGACGGATATTTCGGATCGGATATTTTTGAACACCCCTAATAGCAGCATGCCAGTTTGGATCTTTCATAGCACTACGGTAAGTTGGGGGTAAAGGGGAGATGGAGGTGGTGGCGTGGAGGTCTAAGATTTGTTTTGGGCAGAAAACACCGGCCTTAGAGCGGGTTTGCATTGGGT